AAAAAAGTCCATGTTTCCTAATTTGCACGAAATTTTCTACCACATGATGTGCCTTGCCTTCCGAAAATAAGTATTACCTTTAACAATATCAGCGCAAAGGTAGCTAGCTGCATGCCCTGCTCGTGTAGTTAAAAAGAAAAAGACAAACAGTGACATGAAATAAAAAGTAAAAATGGAAAAGGGATGTATTTCTATTTGTAAAAAATAAAAAAAAAAAATAAGAAGACTTTTTAAAAAAAAAAAGGAAACTCACACGCTAAAAAAGCAGCCCCCGGAGCGCTCGCTCCACGTCCCGCCTGCGTCCCGCTGCCCTGGGCTCTGTCGCCACAGCTCCTGCTGCATTGGGGGTGCTCCCTGGTGCTCCGCCACCCCAGCCCCACCCCCGGGCTCCTCGGGGGTCCTTTCCGAAGCCCCCGCCCGCAGCAGCAGACAGACCTCAGGGGTGCGCCCCGGCCCCTGGGCCACAGGCCAGCCCCCCAGACGCCACGCATGCACGCGAGACCCCAGGCGGTCCCCCCGTGGGGTGGCCGCCCTGCCGACAGCCAGACTCCCCCGTTCCACCTCACGCAGGCTGGCGTCCCTCTGGCTCAGGGTCAGTTGCTCTCCCACCCTCTCTCTTCTGTGCACCCCCCTTCTTGCCAAAGGACCCACTCGTCCCCTGTCCCTGGAGACCGGCCTTGGGCGGCAGTTCCTCCTGCCCTCTCCTTGGCCCCGGCACCCAGTTCTATGTCTTCCAGCTGTGACTGTGGAGTTATCTGGTGTGAAACAAACCAACCAAACTCGATATATGCAATACCTGTCTGTCTATCTGTAAGTCTAGCCCGGCCATCGGAGGCCCGGTTGGGGAGGCCAGTGGGGCAGGGACAGTCAGCGGCCGCCCCGTCACGGGCCTCTCTCTGTCCTGGTGGCTGGCCATGCCGCTGCCTTTTCCTCGTTTTTTAATTTTTCTTTTTTTTCTTTCTCTCTCTCTCTCTCTCTCTCTCTCTCTCTCTCTTTAAAATTCTAATTTCTTCTGCCTTTAACTCAACCAAAGGTGAGACAATAGCAGATAGTTAGTGGGGTGTCCCCCTGGGGAGGACCAAAGGGTTGGGTTCTCCGACCTAAGGCCACCCCCACTTCCGACCCCAACCTGGGCCCCGCAGGCATCTCCTGTGGGGACACGGCAGGCCCCCCTCAGACTTGAGAATTGTCTCCAGAGCAGACGGGACGCTGCAGAAAGGTTCCAGCTTTCATTGCCATCATACGCTCATCCGTGTTTTCTTCCCAAAAGACACTTCGGCAGGCCCCAGGGGACAGAGGGAGAGTCCAGACCTCGGTCTCATCCGGCCATGACACTACCCTTAGGAGCTGCCCCTTGGCCAGAGCCCAAGGCCATGTGTGTCAGTTTTCATAGGCTCCCTCCAGGGAGGTGGGAGCAGCTGGTGGCAGAGGGCTTCCCTACCAGGACCCCTCCCCGGGGCTTTGCTGGGACATTCTTAACCCTCCGTGACCCGTACCCACCACCGCCCTTCCTGGCCCCCGGCTGTGCGCTTGCGCCCTCAGCACCCCGCTGAGAGCTGGGAGCAGGTCCTTCCCAGCCAGCATGGCATCCTGCGGTCGCCCCCTTTTCTCGGAAAAGCTACTGGATCCCCATTGGGCAGAATTCCCAGGCCCCCTGCTGCAGGCAGAATAAGGCAGAAACACCAAGAACCAGACCCTGAGCCGCTCTGCAGTCTGCACTCATTCCCCGACGTGGGGGTGAGAGGCCATTGGGTGGTTTTTTTTTTCCCTGTGGGTTTTTTTTTTACGTGTAGGAAACTGACATCTTCTCACACCCCTCCCCCTCCCAAGCGTGCCGTCACCCACCACTCATCATCCATCCCCACCCATGCAAATCCCCCCAGCTTGACCCTGGGGTCCAGCTCATGCTGTGGAAAAGAATAGGGAGGCCCCCCCAAATATGTGCAGATCGCCCCGTTCCTGTCCTGGATGAGGGCACTGGACACTGACCAGGGTGGAGAGGCGGGTGGGAGAAGCCCCAGCCGTACCTGAATGGGGAGACGCATCCCCAGGTGTAGAACCCAGGTTCTGGCCGAGTCTTGATCCCCACCCTGAGCTAGACAATCAGACCAGAAAACCCCAAAGGAGACTCGGGGGGCTGCTGCCGCTCCCCAAGCAGCAGATGATTCCAGCCTCGGCCCCATGAACCCCCCTCCGTGCTCCAGAACCTTCTGTGTGCCCCCTAGAGACAGCAGTGTTCCAGGGGCAGGCAGACGACGGCGGCCAGTTAGGACTCTGGGGCCAGAGCAACCGTCCAGCACCCCCACAAGAGACAGCACACAGACACCCCCCTCCGGCTTGTCCAATGGTACTCTGACCTGCAGTGTAGGGCTATACTATACATATATATATATAATTTTGGATTTTTTTTTCTTGTAACAGATTATACAGTGGCTGCTCTTTATTTTGGCCTGGATTCTCTCTCTTGAGACCCCAACTTTTACTGTCTTTCCGGAGGGTGTTGAGGTTCCAGACCCATCCACCCATCTTTCCCCATTTCTGCACCTGGAGAGCCCCACCTCCACACTGACACAGCCTGCCCCCATCCATCCATTCGTCCTTCAGCGTTTCAGAGTGTGTGGGGTCCGAGCTGGCCCGAGGCCCACCCCCCACCCCGGCGAGGCAGGGAGACAGACGGACCCAAAGCCATACCAGCAGGACTTGTCGCCAGCGATACCAAAACAGACTTTTCCCAAGCAGTGCCTCACATGTCTGCTGGTGCGGCTTTGGGGTGCTCCCCCACCCCGCTCCCTAGGGCCCCCCCCAAGGCCTCAGGAAAGAGGAGGCGAGATCTAACAG